CTCTAAGTATTATATTATTATATACAGTATTTTATCTACAAGCGTGTGGTAACAAAATATCTGGAAGAAATTTTAAAAAAAGATTGCGTGTGTCACCTTTGACAGCAGACAGTTAGAATTTAGGTGAGCATGCTGTAATAATATTACACGCCGTGCGGTAATCTGGTACTTACCGCACGCAAAATCATGTAATATACCTAAGTTACCGCACGCAAAATCGTGTAATATACCTTAGTTACCGCACGCTTGTAGATAAAAATATTTACAAATAGAAAGAAATGTTACAGATGTAATAATAGATGACATCAAGATCTAAATAGGCATTTGCCTTGCAGAAAATTTTATTTGTATGAAATACAATAAAAAAAGACATTTCAGGGAATGCTGCTTATCAAAAAAGGTACTTACTGACTGGAAATAATGAACAAAATGGCATAAGAGTCGAAGCATTGGTGTTTTGAATATATTAACATTAGATCAGAGAGCAGCGATGTTTAATCAAAATTAAAAAAAATTGTGACAATTATTACTATGAACAACAATTTGATGCCATTTTGCCTTGCTGGAGGGAATTTCCTTCGTAAACTATCACGTGCCAAATCTGCAATGCGGAAATGGAATACTACAGTCTGCTAATGGTTCAAAATTTACATTCTGGGAAACGGAAAGAATAAAATATAAAATTCATAACAAAAATCAAAAGTCCGTGGTGGTTATGTATATTTGTTCTGGCGTGCAAGAAATTCCTATCAACCGACAATGAATGATGAAATTCAATAATTTATTTATATCCTGATTTTCCAAAAGTTATTTAAAATGTCAACAAATCTTGAAATATATGATGGTGAAGAAAATCCGACAAATAATGACGAATTGGAGCAAATGCAAAAAGAACTTTCGAGGAAATATTTAATTCTGATAATGGATTGAAACCTGTGAAGGGTTCACCTGTACATATTCATTCACTACTGCGTGTAGTGACTCCTCATTTTTCAGGATTTTAATAAGTTGGTTCTGAGTAGACACCATCTGGACCTGCAGCTTTCCTGTTTTTGGATAACTGAATGGCGTGTTGGACTTCTTCCTTAGTTATATCTGGTCCTTGTCGTGAATACTCTTCAGGAATGTCCGATCTCTCAACTTTAAACAGGCTTTCAATGTAGCTGCATATTTTACTTTGTCGTTGACATTAGGAATTATCTTATCTTGACTGTCCAACAGAATGCAGCTCTGTCGAGGTTTGTATACAAAAGATGCTTAGTCTACGATACAAATTCTAGTCAACATTATAAACGGATTGTACAGTAACTAGCAGTGGCGTGCCTGACGGGCCCTTGCGGGAGGTCCCCGGGATATTTGGGGCTCCCAAATTAAACAAGGTATTCTTCTCACACAAGTTCTTTAGCTCTCATCTCAATAGAGCACGAAAGAGCTAAAGATGTAAATATTGATGAACTATGTAGTTGATCATTATTTATCCAGTCGTTCTACTAGTCGACACAAAAAATGCTAGTCTCTACCACCAAAGTAATCACAGAATAGTATATTATTCAACGAGCGGGTAATGATGGCTATTACCCACGAAGGATGACGTTTGCACTACGAACCGCAGGCGAGAAGTGTATTCATCCGAGTGAGTAATAGCCATTACCACGAGTAGAATACCTACTAGACTTTTTCTATGATTAATAGATAATAGGCACGAGCTATGCGGTTTTTTATTTAATTTTCATGATAAAATAGACAATTCTGACAAGTGGAGGTCAAAGTGAGGTTAGGTTAGCACAACTCTTGTTTAAATCAGCTGTCAAAATGACCGATTGGAAGGTTGAAGTATGTTGTCAACTTGTCGAATTTTCTGATTGGCTCTTAAATAGTGGAGTAATGAGACCAGGATATTTTCATTGGTTGAAAACAATTGAGTAGGTAATGAAAAAAAAAACTCATTGTATGAGTAATCATTCACATTGATCAATAGGAAATGGATGTAAAATCTGTTTTTTTTTTTAAACATAAAAGTCAAAATGACATTATGTTGGCAATACAATATAAAATTGTCAATGCTTTCAAATTTTTTATGTAGAAAAGGCTTGTGTTGCCAACATAGTTACTAAATTTTTGACTTGGGGAATTATCTTTAAAAAAAAAACAGACTTTATATTATACATATTATTCAACACTCATAGAAAAAACCATTTTTTCTATGAGTATTGAATAATATGCATAATATACATCCATTTTCTATTGATCAATGTGAATGATTACTCATGCAGTGGGTTTTTTTCGTTCCTTGATTGTTTTCAACCAATTAAAATAGCCTGGTCTCATTACTCCACTATTTAAGAGCCAATCAGAAAATTCGACAAGTTGACAACACACTTCAACCTTCCAATCGGTCATTTTGTCAGCTGATTTGGACAAGACTTGTGCTAACCAAACCTCACTTGGTCCTCCAGCTGTCAGAATTGTCAACAAATTTTGTTACGAAAATTAAATAAAAAACCGCCTGACTCGTGCCTATCATCCATTGATCATAGAAAAAGTATAGTATTCTACTCGTAGGTAATGGGCTATTACTCACTCGGATGGATTACACTACTCGCCTGCGGCTCGTAGTGCAAACTTCATCCTTCGTGAGTAATAGCCATCATTACCGGCACGTTGAATGATATACTATTCTGTGATTATCCATCCATTTCCTATTGATCAATGTGAATGATTACTCATACAGCGAGTTTTTTTTTCATTGCCTACTCAATTGTTTTCAACCAATGAAATATCCTGGTCTCATTACTTCACTATTTAAGAGCCAATCAGAAAATTCGACAAGTTGACAACATACTTCTACCTTCCAATCGGTCATTCTGACAGCTGATTTAAACAAGACTTGTGCTAACCTAACCTCACTTTGACCTCCACTTGTCAGAATTGTCAATTTTATTATGAAAATTAAATGAAAAACCGCATAGCTCGTGCCTATTATCTATTAATCATAGAAAAAGTATAGTAGGTATTCTACTCGTGGTAATGGCTATTACTCATTCGGATGATTACACTACTCGCCTGCGGTTCGTAGTGCAAACTTCATCCTTCGTGCGTAATTGCCATCATTACCCGCTCGTTAATAATATACTATTATTACACTTTTCTCTAATATTTCTTAATTTTAGTTTTGCTTGAACCAGAGATTGATTATTATTTTTTTATTTTCACAATTTTTTTCATAGTTTTTATATCTGTTTTTTTTTTTTACCAGAGTAGTACTTATTTTTTATTTCATGTTATGATCTTTAATACAAATTTTTATGATATTTTTTGTTTACTTTTATTTTTACTGAAACTGTTCGGGGCCCCCAAGGAAAATCTCGCGGGAGGGCCCCCAAGAAACTCGGCACGCCCCTGGTAACTAGAACGCTGCAGATCAGCTGGAATAAACCTCAATGAAAAGACACCTGTTTCTGCTAACCATGAAGAGAATTATGTTGGTTGGGAATCAGCAAAATGAGAGTCAAACCTGACCCAACAAAATTTGAAGCAATAAGAACTTTTCAAAACCAAAAGATATAATTGAGCTTGGATCTTCCATGGGACTGGTAAATCAACTGAGATTCTTTAATCGGAAATCAGTAGTGCAGCAACTCCATTGAGGGAATTTTTACCAGCAAGAGTCCACTGTACTAACTTATTCTTATTGATGTATTTTTGGCATATAATTACGATGGAAAAGAATATAATATCCAGTAGGTACCTCATCAGACAACAGATATTTTTCGAGTTAACTTTTCAGTATTTGGTTTTATTTCCAATTAAGTAGTCATTAAATTTAATCAGAAAAGCTATAAAAAAAATTGTGTTTGTATCCCAAAAATAACGAGGCAGTGAAATAGACCCATAACATCCAGATACAACTCTAAGTAGATACATTCATCACCATGCTGAATCTAGGGAAATGGGTTCGAATGCACATGAAAACGATGCACGTTCAACAGGTAATTTAAAATCATGTCGCTTTGTTACTCTTCTATAATATGATTGCAGATTCTGCGTGTAGTAGTGCATTTTTGCGGCTTACGTTTCTTGCAGAGAGTCAGTTTATGTCGGAAGCTTGTTGCGAAAGTTTGATCGTGCTTGCGCAAAATCGCGATTTAAGAAATATACGTATTTTTGAAAATCTCAATAGTACGTAAGTTTGTTAACTATGGGATTGTTTTTCACTAACAAGCAAATTCTATCAAATTATGTATTTGTTTTTATATCATTATATTTTTTTTATCAATTACAATAATTAATATCGATTGCACTTTGATTAATCAAATAATTAAGATCGCTTAAAACTAAGTCACGCAAAAATTAAATTAATTACTGAAAGTATAAAATTGTATTGGCCATTAAACCAATACACGTGTTAGCTGTTTCATGTCCCAAAGAACGCACATCATTAGGTTAAGAGATTAAAGTTCTTAAAAAAATATAGTGCTGAAACGTCTGAGTAAAATGGGATTCAAGCCGGGTAGAGGCCTAGTACCGATGCACGGTTCAATTAAAGTGTACAAACAATGGGCCAGGTTTTTGTTGTCCAGAGAAAGTACTTATTCTTCGGAGGAAACTACTCTAATGATGGATGTAAGTTCATATTAATTTTTTGGAAATATGTATGAATAATTATACTGCAACCCAGGATGATTTATTTCATACTGTCCGGCATTTAGTAACTATGTTACATCATCAATTTCAGTCCGGGAAATGGCACATTATATCATTAGTTCAGTAATGGAACATTACCGGACTCCTGTTAAAGGCAAAATTTCAAAAGTGCCATCAACACCTGGACTGCTAGATTAGATAACATTATATTTTGAGCAAAAGTTTCAAAAATGCCCAGATAACAAAATTAGATAAAATATTGTACGATATACGTATAAAGTTATTATTAAAAAACTCCTGTCCGGAATCGAACCCTAATTTATAAATTCCTAATTGCATATATTTGTTTATTCCAGGCTGCCGAAAGCGGTAACCTAGACATGTTCCAGAAGCTCTACGTCCAGGACCCGACGCGTTTATCAATTCGCGATCCGCGTGGACGCACCACGGCCCATCAAGCAGCCGCAAGAAACCGAATAAACATCCTTCATTTCATTACGCAACAAGGAGGAGATTTGAATGCTCAAGATAATGCTGGCAACACGCCTCTACATGTCGCAGTGGAATCGGAAGCTTTGGACGCTGTGGATTATTTATTAGCGCTGTAAGTATTTTTTTGAATTTTAGATGAGATGTGGTCGTATCCATATGAGTTATGAAGTTTTTGAAGATGTTCAAATAGTTTTGTTTGATGTGGAAAAGTTATATTATGAGAGTGACATCAAAAATGTCATTTTTGTTGTTGTGAAATTTTCGACTTTCCTACACGGGCTTATTAGGTCCTTCAAGGTAACTTAATCCAGTAGCTGTAGTTATCAACTACAACTCAAAAGAATACGGTTTATTTCACGTAATTATTTTCTATTTAATTGTAAAATCCATATTTCAAGTTGATTCATACTTCCAGAAAATCAATGTCTTTTAAGTGTTTTGGTAAAAAGTTGAAAAACTTTGGAGCTTAGAAATGCATTTGATTTATGTCCCACTTCCTTTTTGCTCACCGGAAGCAGCATGCAATCTTCCTTGAATCTCATGAGTGATAGTTTAAAGTAATTTTCCTGTTTTGTGGATCAACGTTAGTATATTTCAAAAATAAAGTTGTCCAATATCAAACACCCCGCTCCCATCGAACAAATGGTCGATAGAATAATGTTTGTTTTTATCAAAAATTATTCTTAGAATACATTTCTAGAATATCTCTAATTTATTGAGGTAGGTAGCAGTGGGTAAGCATTTAAATAGGAAAAACGAGTAGGTTAATTAGTATCTTATGTTGAAAGTAAATGGTTTATTTGTTTATCCCATCGTAGGTGTTGATCCACTATTATTCCCAGGTACTTGATACAGTCAATTCTCGAAATTTACAAGTTTTCTCCCACTTTCAAAAAGTGAAAAACAGGTAAATTATTTACGTATGACGCAAATTGTGCTTGGTTGGGGGTTAAGATTGTTGGTTCGCAACGACTTGAAGATGTTAAAGTATTCCTTTTTAGTATGATTCAGAGAGAACTAATAGAAGTGATTTTTGTGATTTCACTTTCAATCAAAGACCCCAAATAACACTTAGTACACAATAAGTTCATAACCCTACTAATCTACTAAAGATATAGAATGGTCAAACAGTGAATATCTTGTACGGAGTACTTCAACACATTCCCTCATTGAAACTTTTGTCCGTGCCCATAGCTTCTCGCGTTTTCTCCAATCTTGGCTTGAATAGCGGTTTTGTCATAAAATCAGGCTTGTTAAAATTCAGATGCAACCTTTTCAACTATCACTAAATTTTCTTGAACCAACGCTCTTACAGAAAAGTATATATATTTAGCTGCTTGATTATCAACTTTAAATTTTGAAACAATACAAGTCGGGTTTTCTAGTTTTCAGGGCACAACACTAACTAACGGCGTATGCTATATCTGGTCTGATACGAGTCCTCAAATATATTAAAGCTCCAACAGTTTCTCTATATGGAAAAATATACTTCGATTTTTCTTTACCATTTTCCCTCCCTAATTGAAGACCATCTTTTACTATAGATGTTGAAACTGGTTTACAATGTTTCGAACCAAAACGTTCTAATAGTTTCTGGGTGTATGAAGAATATACGAGACAGGTTTTGTAGTAGGTAATTTTAATTCCTCTTCCAAACTTGTTATGAAAGTGTTTTTCATGTTATCGAATGTAGGTACATGCCAGTAAACCATCGTTTACGTAGAGAGCTGCTAGAAGCACATGCCGTCCTTCTTTTTTCACAATTCACCATGGATCAGCATTACTCCGTTTAAAACCAAGGGTTTTGATGTAGATTGATAAGGGGTTTTCATTCGGGCTTAATGGCCGTCGTAAGTTGGAATTTCTTCCTGACGGTTCGCTAGCACGCGTGGCTAGCATCTTCAGAGGTGCTTCCATGTCCGATTCTGGTAGCAGAGTGACGCGATACCGACCGTAAGTTGTATTTATGTGTAAGTGGTTGTGATGGGGGAGGGGCGGGGCTTCGCGGCACGTGGCTAATCAAAACTTTCTCTGTACTCAATGGAATCTTTCTTGCATTTTTGAGGATCGGGTTCCAGATTTGGTTAAGTTTTAGTGTTTCTTCTTTCCTGTTAAAGTTCTCCGTATGTTTGTGAATTTCTATAGCTTCACGTACAAGACGATTGTGGTATCCGGAAGTCAGTGCAAGAAGCTTGACCTCACCAAAGAGTATTTCATGATTCCCTTACTAAGCGCATGTTCCGCAACTGCGATTTTTCCGATTGTCCTAGTCTGAAATTTCTTTTGTGCTCGTTCATCCTGGTTCCCATGGATCTTTTTGTCGTTCCTATGTATACCTTACCACATGTCCATGGTATACGATAGACTCCAGCGCTAGACAGTGGGTTCCTCTTATCCTTGGCTGATCTGATTAATTGCTGTATTTTCCTTGTTAGCTTGAAGATTGTTTTTATGTTGTGTTTCTTCAAGACTTTCCCTATCCTGTCTGTCACCCGAGAAATGAAAGGCAGATATGCATTAGCCACCACTGGTTGTTCATCCACGTTTTGTCGTGTGGCAGTTTTGGGTCGCATGGCCCTGTCGATTTCAGAGGCATTGTAACCATTTAATAGAAAGGCCGATTTGAGATGATCCAGTTCTTGCTTGAGATATTGTGGCTCGCAGATGTTCCGAGCACGTTCTGTTCAGGTTGTTATAATTCCACGTTTTTGCCTTGGATGGTGGTTTGAAAGTGCATGCAGGTACCTGTCTGTGTGTGTAAGTTTTCGGTACATCGTGTGGCTTAGTTTTCCTCCAGATTTCTTTATGGGTACATCTAAGAAGGCGATTTCCTGGTTTTTCTCCTTTTCCAAAATAGCTTTCCTTTCGAATTCCTCCATAAAGAAGTTGGCAATGACCGGGCTGAGCGGACTTCCCATAGCTACACCGTCCGTTTGCTCGTAGAAATCGCCGTTTTACAGGAAGTAACTACCAGTTAGACATGCCGGAAAAGCTCAACTATGCCATTGGGGAAGGTACCTGATATCAAGTTAAGAGATTCTGTCAATAGCCCTTTTGTGAATAGGGACACGACATCAAAGCTGACCAGGATATCATTAGGTTGAGGATATCCCTAATTTTCCGGACAAAGTGAGTGGAGTCCTTGACGTAAGAGCTAGTTTTACCTACATGCGGTTGAAGAAGCGATGCAAGATGTTTCGCCAAGTTGTACGTTGGTGCTCCAGGTGCACTCACTATATGCCGTAGAGTCGTGGTGGAACTGCTTCTGTTTTTATGATGCCTTTCTTAACCATGTCTGTTAGAGTAGATGACCTAATCAGTTTGTTGGTATTCCAGAGTGTGACTTGTGTGGGATCCTTCTTTAGCTTTCGGTAGGTAGATGGATCAAGGAGTTCCTGAATTTTCCGGTTGTAGTCCAGTTATTAACAGGACAGTTGCGTTGCCCTTATCCGCAGGTAGGATGATCATATCTTCCGCTGAATTTAGGTTCCTAATTGCCATTAGTTCCTTCTTAGAGAGGTTGCTGGTTGGTGGTCGAGCCTTTCGTAGAATGTTGGCCGTCACAATACGGATTTCTTCCGCTTCCACATCAGGTAGTGCTCTGATGGCTGCTTCAGTGCTGGCTATAATCTCGTCCGTTGGCAGGTGTTGTGGAGTGATTGCGAAATTACCGCCTTTTGCCAAGGCGGCTGTTTCCTCTTCGGCAAGGACTCGATCCGTGAGATTGATGACCAGTCTGGATTTGTCAGGTGCTGGGGAATTTCGGATTTGTTTCTTACAGAACTTCTCGTATTTTCGAATCTGAGCTTTTTTGCTCAGGTTTAGCTCATTATCCATAGTTGAGTATGAAATGGTATCAATTTTGTTCCAATCCTTTGCCTGTATTTTGTTGCTGAGCGTCAGATGTAGGTGAAGTAGTTCCCTATCTACTTCAGCCAGATCCTTCTTTGTATTGTGGATTCGCTCTCGAAGAAATGCTTTTTCAGTTCTGCAGTAGATGCGATGTGCTTGGGGTGTCTTGAAGGAGCGCTTAATCTGCAAGAACGCTGGTACGATGTTAGTGTCACGGCAATGAGAGAGAAACGTTAGATTTGCCAATAAGTGTGCCTGGCGTCATCTAACTTTGTATTTGCCAACTTACGACGACCATTAAGCCCGAATGAAAACCCCTTATCAATAAACCTGGGCCGCGAAAGCTTCAGAAACTTTATCGGTTTTGATGTAGTTTGTGAAACGTTTTTTTCAACATCTTGGAGCTTGCTTCCATTCAAACAAACTGCATTGCAGAAAACCACTTCTATCTTCGTAGCCATCTGGCTGCTTCATAAACACACCTCTATATCAAGTTCGCCATAGGGAAAATCAGTACAAACATCAAATTGTGTGAGCGACATGTTTTTATTCGCAACGACGCTAAGTAGAGCTCCAATTGTACCACCTTTTACTACTGGACTATATATTTGATCATAGTCCTCTTTTTTTTTTGTGAGTAGCTCTTGATCACGAGTCTAACTTTGTACTTGTCTACTGAACCATCTGGATTTGTTTGCAGCCTAAACATCCACTTATTAGGAATCGCTTTCTTGCCTAGTAGTAACTTTGTCATTACCCAAGTGCGATTTTCTTTAAGTGATTGTATTTCTTGCTGTATTGTTCCTATCCAGTCGGTCTATACAAGTCACAGCTCCCTTGTAGTCAACTGGTTTCTTCGGCTCAAATATTTCAGCAGCAACTGTCATTACAAATTCATCAAATTTTCCTAGACGTCCCAGGTTAATTCGATCTCTTAACTTTCGTCTATATTCGGTATTTTCTTCCAAAAAATCGGGTTTATTGTGCTTCTTGTTTAATGATCCTGGATCTACTTCTAATTGAAATTCTTTTGACATACAACTTTCAACGTTCCTATTGGTTAATGAATCTTGCACCACATTTTCATTGTTGCCTCTCATCAACCAAGCAAATTTTCCAGTGGCGAGGCAGAAATAGAATTTTGTAACTATTCGACAATCGGTAACGGTGAAAGTTCATCAAATATGACATCAAGTGACCTAATTAGTCCGTTTTGCTCAAAGCTCCAAATTCTGTAGACATCATCATTATAACCAGCTA